CACACACTGCCGGCTCATGTTCAGACATTTCTTTTCTCAGGTCACAGCTGGAAGTTGACAAACCAAAAGCAACCACTTCACGCCCCACGCGCCATACGCTACCTTCGACGAGGCAATGAAGGTGACCGCCGCCGCCTGGGTGGAGGGGCGGGTGACGGAGAGCGTCGCCGCCTGGCCGGCGGGGGCGATGGGCTCCTCCTCCGCCTGCTGCAGGGAGAGAAGGGTTTCTCAGAAAAGCTGCAACTGAGCCACGAGATTCTTTATGTTGGACAGGTTCATGCACTTCAAAATGAAATTCTGTGAGAAGATGCAAAACCCAAACTTGTCTTGATGAAGAGTGTGCGACAAGGCTAACCCTACTGTGATTTTCAGAGCCCGACACAGCAGCCAAAAGACACTTCACCTTCCGCTTCGCCTGGTCTACTCACCCCCCGGAGCCAAAGAGGAAGCCCACCACTCTCCCACCAGCTCCCTCCTGCCGTTCCCCTCGCACCGCATCTAGTGATGACCCACTGACTTAGACCAGTTTACAACAGACACACCTCCTCCTCCTCGTGCGGGGACGTGACTGCCAGATCCAGCACAAGGGAGGAACTGGGAAGGCCCGGCTGCGTCAGGCAGGCCAAACCTGTGCTCGGACAGCAGCCTAAGTTGGATCAGGCTAAATGGCGTGGAACTGTACTCTTGAAAATAACTTATCTCTAGGTCTGAAATCCAAAATCACTTATTTCTTGAAATACAGAGGAAAAAAACCCAAGAGCTGTTGCTAAAATGCAGTTGTCTGGACTGAAATCGTTCACAAAACAAGCCGTTTTCCACTCTGCAAGGTTTACAACAGACTTCTGGGAGAGGAAATTTTAATCAAACACATACTCTCCTAGACTTTCAAAGGAAAGGAATATTGGTGTTTCATAAAGTCATTCCTTTTTAACAAAAACAATTAAGATAAATGACTGGATAAAGGAAAAACTGAGCGTAATGCAAGGGAGATGTGATCTCAAACATGCTGGATGTTGTTCTCCAAGGCAATCAGTTACACTTTTTATAAGGAAGAGTTTGCTCCAAAAGACCGTTTTTAATAATCTGAAGAAATACCAGCCTTCAGGTGACAGGACTGTCCTAATTCAACATGTATTCACATAATGCCCAGAAGGTGAATTTGTAGGTTGCAAACAGATTAAGATTTTTGAACTGCCATCAATTCACTACCTAGAATTCCTTGACAAGATCCATAATCAGAACGGCCTGTTTGTAGAGGTAGTCACGCTTAAATCTCACACATCGTTACGTGTGCTGCAACTACGTTCTGCCAGGTCTTAATTACAGATTGCTCAAAGGTCATTATGCCAGATTAATAAACCCATCGAGCACCCAGCTTCCTGCCCCCTCCCACATTCCGAGATCAGCAAAGAGCAAACAGTTCCACAGGGAAAAGCGTTATCGGTATTGCCAGCGTAAGAAAAGAGACAGTGAAGGAGGCGTTCGCTACTCGTCTACTAGCAATCATTCCAAGTACCCAATGAACTGAGGGATGGGACTTTTGAAAATTCCAATTATCTGGAATGCAGAAAATCAAGATCTTAATCACTTGTTGCAAGTTCTAGCCAGAATGTCAGTGGCAATGCTTGCCCAACGTGCAAATCCGTGCATACGGAGTAAGAACACCCCTGAAGAATACAGCCATTCAGCCGTTTTCAGGCATCAGTACGGTCCTAATCACATTGATCAACCGTTGTCCCAGGCTTATGTGAGTCAGCACATGGTGAATTAACAAACAGTGAGCAATGAAGGAGGCAGAGCAGGTGTTCCTTCTTGTTTTGCCAGTGGAATGGTCCCAGATCCAGCAGGCCCAGGAACACACCAGTCCGAATTTCCCTCGCCTTACTACTCAGTGTCCAAGGACAAAGGATGGCAAGTGTTTATCCACGACAAAGCAAATGAGAGGCTGTCGGAATGATTTTCTATACATAAATCCTGTTGAACACATTAATTTCTAACCAACCTTTTCATCACTGGCGATTGCCACCTCTTTTCCATCTGCATCCTGATAGCAGTGGAGGAAAAACAAAGCAAAACAAATCTATCTGCTGTACATTTGAGGCAAAAATGAACATATTTGAAGTAATTCTTATCAAATAAGCACAAGAACGCAAGAACAAGATTGGGCAAATGGGACAGGGCTTAATCCTGCTGTGTATTTGCACAGCAGATAAACAATAACTAGTTAGAAAAACACACATCGGTTACGTTCAGCCCGAGGAGAAATTACCGAGGGGAGGACTCCTGTCGTTTCCGTGGAGATGGCGATGGACTGCGTGAATGTGAATGGCGGCGGCGCCTACCAACTTCCCCGTTCTTCACGTTGGATCTCTTCGGTCTTTCCTCTTCAGATGAGGACGAAGAGCCAGAATCTATAATCGTAGAAGAATCACTCTCTGGAAAACGATTTTCCTAAGGATGTTACCACAGCTACCCATAGGGTCATACTGCAGTTTAAACTGCTGACCGCCTCTCCCGCAAAAGAAGTCGCCTCTGTTTAAAAGCTGTTCCACTAACAATGTTAGTGGACTTCAGGTGATAAATAAATCCATCAGACCTGGGTAAAAATATCTGCAGCAATCTGTCTGTCCACATAAAATTTGACTAGCCAGGTAATTTTAAAGGTGAGCTGCATTCAAGTGGCCAAAACCTCATAGCAGGCCCAGGTTAATTTACTGATCTCAAGCCTACAGGAGTCCAAAATATTAGGAAATAACCTATTGCAACATCAGACTAAGTAATCCCAGCAAACCCTATTTGCGTGTGCGATGTGAAGAGGTTAAAAGTGCAACTTTTGAAGATGCAAACCCATTAACAAGAGATGCATCATTACCCTTAAAAGTTATAGTTTATTCTTCAAGAGCAATAATTAAAGTGACCTCATTATGAGTGTTAAATCTATAATTAAGTTCACAATAGCACTGCACATAGCCAATGTGTTAAATCAGTATTTGAATTCAACATTAACCAACTACAGCCCAGTTTAGGAAATCCAAGTCATCCGTACCAGATGAAGACTGTTGATTCTGCCTTCTGTACTGACGCCTCTGTTGAACAGAGTCTGCTGCAGCTGTTTTACCTCCTTTATCTTCTTCTGAAAAGGTACATGCACAGACAGAATATTTAACCCAAAGATACACATTTGCCTTATTCAGGCAGAAGCAAAGTCGTATTACAGCAGATCATCAAGCATTCCCCCCCAATTCTTAAGATACCACTGAGGCTGGAATACAGTTTGGCTGAGCTTTTGAACAGAAATGTTTGAGGCAGTAGGAGCAACCACCTTTCTGCCTCTGAAACCTCATGCTTTCAGTGCCAGCCTGTCAAGAGGGTTCAGCACTTTATCACTGCCTTCTATCATCATGTGTCTTTGATTAAAACCCCACCCAAAACCAGGGTTGAAAAGCGAGAGCCATACCCGATTCAGACAGTTCTGCCTTCCTTGGTTTTGGTGCTGGCGAAGGAGATTCTCTTTTTTCAGTGCTCTTATGTTTGGGTGCTGAAAGACAAACAACTCCGCTGTGATTCGCTGCGTTCTCGCACGCTTTTCTGCTCACACAAACGGTACGTTTGGTATTTCAGAAAACAAAAGCACAAAGTGATAAAGCTGCTGGAATACCTGATGCTCTGCCAGGTGAAACAGAGCCACGGCTTTTTCTTGCACGATTCGACTGCTGGGGTGTTGGAGACCTACGTGGTTTTGGAGGCGGACTCGGTGGTGGAGATGGTCTGTGCCTCCGCCTCGGAGGGCTCGCGGAAGGAGAGAGCCGGCGCGTTTTACGAGGAGGACTGGATACAGTTCTTTTAGGTGGTTTCTTTGGTGGTGACCGGGAACGTGAAGAGGAGGAGGAAGAGCTACTGCCAGATAAGGATGCTGATGATCGTCTTCTCCTGTAAATCAAACACAACATTAGATTCTGACGAGCCAGCTTAAGCAATATTTGAGTATGAACACAGAATCGCATCCGTTTGCAAGCACATACATGTATAGCCACAGACAAGAGCACTTCCAGAATATGGTGGACAGCCTTCAACACTTGGCTTGTAGAAGAATAACAACTGATCTTTCACAGTTATTTTTTAACTACACAGTGAGCAAAAAACGGTTAGTGTTACCTTTGCTTGCTTTCTGTCAATCTACAGACTACAACTAAGCTTTCCTCCTGGGAGCAATTAGTTTTGTTTGGGTCTCTAACTTCTGGGTGGTTAAGAGAATTCTCTGTGTTAGCACACGGGATGTAACAATCTTCAGAATGGATCTGTTTAAGAGTTTAGTGTGCACTAAAAAGTTTTTATACCGGGAGGTAAAAATTTCAGGCAACTTAACGATTCAGAACCAGTCTATCCATTTGTATGTTTTATCTTTGCCATTTTAAAAAGGTAGGGCCTCTAGAATTCTGCGGCAAAAATTGTGGTAAGTTCTGTTGCAATTGTGTACCTGCAGAATCCACCTTTGGCTGCAGAATTCCTGAGAACCTGGAAAAAAGAAACCCTGCCTTGAGTGAGATAAACATTTGCTGAAAGGGAGCTCTTTTACATCTCGCAACATACATGTTTGATACTTCGCACAGTTTTCCCAGTAACTGTGCAAAATGAACATCTTTACAAACTCGGGGAAAAAAGTAAATCATCATCTTGTCATAAAAAGGAAGAACTGTTCCTTCCTGAAAAAGAACAAGGGCTGTACACAGGAAACATCACTTCATTGCTCTTCCTACGAAGAGGGCAAGACCTACTCTCTTCCTGCGAAGACGAGCGTCTATTCTGACGCTGCCGTAAGCGTGTCGTTTTCTTGCAAGGCCAGAGCTCTGCTACTGGAACAATCGCTTACACTGTCAGAAATCAGAACGGTTTGGGTTGCAAGGGACCTTTACAGGCCATCTAGTCCAACCCCCCTGCAGCGAGCGGAGCCACCTTCCACTAGACCCGGTTGCTCAGAGCCCCGTCCAGCCTGACCCTGAACGTTTCCAAGGATGGGGCTTCTACCACCTCCCTGGCAACCTGCTGTTGCCCAGATGTAACCTCCGACACCAGAGAGCAGGCCTTGCAGATTTTTTTAAAAGTAAAACAAGATGAAACACAAAAATCAGAATTAAATTTTGTCTTAATGCGATGGAAATGTAATTCGTAATTTAAAAAAAAAAAAAAAACAAACAAGTAAAATGCAGTTACTTGTTCTAACTTTTCCCCAGGCAGGAAACAGAGTATTAAGACTTAATCAAAAAAGCCACAGGATATGTCACGTCAGTCTACACCGGGAGCTACCCAGAGCCGTTTGAAGACATTACACCGCTGGAATCGCCACTCGTCCAAGGTGGAATTCTCATCGCTAGTCCAACTCCAAAGAAACTTTCACAGCTGCCACCGCACTGCCCCACGACACACGTACCCGCACGGCAGCTGACATCACTCAAATCATACTCCTGCCAGCACGAAGGTAGGATGAAGAAGGTAATTTTGGTAACACCCATTCCTCACGACTAGCGTTCCCATCAACTTTCTAAGTTTAACATTGTCAGTCATCTCAAAAAAGGGAATCTTACCGCCTCACAGGGGATCTGCTTCTTCTGTGTCTGGGTGGGGGAGGCATTCGCCTTGGAGGGCTCCTTCTCCTTGGAGATGGCCGTCGTCTTGGGCTCGGTCGCCTTCTAGGGGAGTAAGACCTGTCACAATCAAAAATTCCAATGAAAAGCAACTATCTAACTTCTAGATTTGAGGAACTTTATCCTCAGGGCGCTGGGCGTAAAGCTGCTTTTCTCCAAGTGCATCACACTGAAGTGGCGTTCAGACTGTGATGCCAAGCGGTAGGTTCAGACACAATCTGTGCTTTGGAGTTTACCAACACCTCGCTACTAACTAGTAAAATAAGCAAAAAAGCAAAAAAGGGAAAAGAAGCCATTTCCAACATGTTCAGCATCAAACCTGTCTCCTAAAAGAAAGCTACACAATTCACACTACCAAGCAAGTGCCATGCTCAGCATGAAGCGCCCCATTCTTCCTCCAGTCAGTGTTAAGTCACTGTATGCATCTTCTCGTGAACTGATGGCAAGAAAACATCTCCCAAACACGTTTATCCATCAAATGCATCTTGCGTTTGGCCTAAAACATCCATAGCTCAACATCTCAAAAAACATCACTACAGTGACTGAGAATACTACGCCGTGTGGCACCTGCAGAAGAAAATACTCTGTTCTCAACCAACAGTCACGACCAAAGTCCTACCTTGACCGTGATCTGTGACGCCTTCTTGGTCGAGAATGAGATGGAGAACGTGATCGAGACCGTGACCTTGACTTGGACCGAGTTGGGGATCTTTGACGAGTCTTCTCCTTCTCCCTCTCCCTCTCCCGCTCCCTCTCCTTCTTTGAATTACGTTCTGGTGAAGCCTCCTTAGTCTCTGGTACAGGAGGTTCGGGTTTAGGAGCTTTTGGGATATCACTGTGAAAAATAAGGTTTCATTTATAAGCACACACAAACCATAGCCCCTGGAGTAACATTTTAGAAGCTG